ACAGCCAGCTGACAGCGGGTGGGAGGATGGAAATCTGGATCCAGACTCACAAAGGAAAGCCTTATTAGGAGCCAGGAGGACACCCAGGAGGGCAGCTGTGGGATTCGGGAAAGTCAGGAAGCCTGCAACCCAAAGGAACACGAAGTCTGGAGGGCCGTGGTGCCCACATTCCCTGCCAGACAAGCTGCTAAGGGTCTGCAAACCTTGAGGCCGTCGAGGCCACAGTAAGATTTTCGCCTGGGAGCAGGACCCCTGGAAGGCCTGCCCAGGTGCCACCAGGTTCTGGAGCCACTTTCTCCAACAGCCAGATGGACACAGGCTGATGTCCTTGCTCCCTGTGCCAGGCACAAGTCACATCCCTCCTGGCAGGTGGGAGCGGGTTAGAGGCACAACTTCCTAGCTTTGCATCAGAATCTAGTCAGGATCCTCTCGTTCTTCAGAGGCCCGAACTTTGTAACAGCAATCCTGTTGGAACATCTGCTGACAAGTCTCTAGCTCTGAAGGAAACAGAAAACCCTCTATTAAAACACACAGAGTCATCAAATGGTTGCTGTCTGGCAGGAATTAGTCTCGAGTTTCAGATAGCACTCAGCTCCTGGGCTAAGTATGTCACCCAGAAATGAATACAAATTAGTAACCAAATCCTGGCAGTATTAAACTAAAAAGTCAAACAAAACTGTGGTCCAAATGTTAGAGACATTGTAAAGCAGCACTGTTGCTTCTTGCTGCTTTGAGATCTTAGTTTTACATTATTGGCAACCTGAAGTGTTCCAAGATCTTGAGCTGGGCTCTCCAAAAAAAATTTTGACTAAAACTCAGAACAGTTTAAAAAACAACATTTGGCCTCCGTTTTGTTTGCCTTCTAATTTTGGAACCTGTAGTGCTCATGGTTTCAGATTTTGCCTGAAAATATGAGAGCTGGAAGTTTACATTTTGAAGAAATGAAAGCTGGCGTTTTTGTCATCACATGACTCCAAGAGCTGGGGCTTGAGGGAAAAACATAAAACATTGTCAGGCTTTCCACAAAATTGTGAGATTAGCAGCATCGGTTTTATCACAATTTAGGCTGCAAAGTCGACCTATTTTATCAACAGTGCCCTACTGAATATGAATTGCTGTATGAATTTTAACAATCATATTAAATTTTAAATACAGTTCAATTAAAGTGACGTTCATCACTGAGTTTCAACGCAAGCTCTTCAGTCGCCAACCTGGCCTGGACTTTCTTCTCTGAGCAAGTGGAAAGTGTAACCTACACCAGCCCACAAAACTTTGCAACTCAGAGATGCCCCACAGGGCAGACACCACGCACGCTCTTTGCCGGTCCTGGGGACTACCCAGCGTCACGAAAAAGTAGCATCAAGCCTCCAATTTTCTTTCACTCTCTGCCCACCTGATGTAACAGCTACAAAGCCCCAGACCTCGCCCGGTTCTAGAGCAAGGACACCAGGAAGCAGATGAGGAGGTCACCATGAGAGTTCCTCCGAGGCCTCAAAGGGCAAACCTAGATTGAGTCCAAGAACTTGCTGAGACATACTTGATGTCTGCGTGTTCCTCAGCCTGTTCTACAGCTGCAGCTCGCTGCAGAGCTGTTCTGAAACACAGCCTCAGATCTCCCCGACTGTTGATGCCCAAGAGTCAACGGAAGACGTGTTCCACTTTAATTTCTGGTAAAACAGCAAGACTGAGATGTGCAGGGGAGAAGACCCCAAATACTCAACAGGTGGAAACTGCTAAAGCAAAAACCTTTCCAATGCACATACACACGAAGATTAAATAGAACAGAAAGAAGTGTGACTGGGAGGATGCAATCCAAAGCGGCATAAACGAAGATGGGAGAGGTTAATCATTCAGAGAAACCCAAACCTCTTCACAAATTAGGTCTAGAACATCCTGAAAAGCAGGAAAACAAACAAACAAAAAAAACCCCCACGCACACCAAAAAAACAAATTATATGCCACAACACAAAATCCTGTCCAGATCACATTTTAGCATTTTGAGGTCATACAGACTCTTTAATTTAATCTAATCTGCAACTTTTTTCCAGTTGAGCATTATCTCTTTACTCAGCTCTCTACAAGAAGACAAGCTGTTGTGTCTTCTGCGTCAGTGGCACCTCCTTCCAACTAATTCAGAGGAGATGGACTTGAAAAAGACATAATGTTGATTAGAGACTCACATGCCAGGTACGTTTTTCTAAGCTCAAGTAGCTGACCGATCTTCCTCCAGCATCACAGAAGTGGCTAGTTTAATTGAGCTGTAGTTAGACTCTGCATCTGCAGTCCTCTAGGGAGGAGAGACACGCTGCAGCCTCTCCCTGCGTATGTACCGTGTGCGTATCCATGATTGTATGCTGAGGGAAGGAGCGAGGGAACCGTTTCCAAGTTAGCACACTTCCAGAAAGGAGTCATAAATCATGGGGTCAGTCAGGTTGTGCTTTTTTTTTTTAACCTTAGGGTATTATGTTTTCAATACAATATTTCAATAGCTTTTTTCTGCGCGATAATTTATCTGGAATTATGGCAACTCTTACAAGCTTAGAAAAAAATTGGCTCAAGTAAAACGAATCCTTTGTCATAAATAGGTTGTGTTCGTAACTGCAGCCTAATCGTTCAATTGCACATAAGTCAAATAGTTATCCAGACTTTGTAGGAATATTTCCCTGTCAATAAATCTAATGCTATTTAAAAACTCGGGGCCGATGTGACAGAAGCCTGTTAGATTAATTACGGCAAGGTCAGAACAGCTGAACTCACAGCTACATTCATGTCACAGTTTTGTTCCACCTACCGTAACCTGGCCGTAAACTCACAGACCGTTTTAAACGTGGGCATGTTAGGGTGACTTCATTGTCTCCATTTATAAACACAGGCAGATCTCTTCAGGAATTGTTTCTTCTCTCTGACAACAATCAACTAAGCACGCAACGGAGCGGAAATGTTCTGCTTTGTATTCACTGTCAATAAGGGTTTTTTTAATTTTCAAATGTTTTTCCCTGTCAATGACTTCACAGTAATTGGGCTGCAACCAGGGTTCATGCGACTACAAGATCGTACAGACCGCGGAACTGTCAAGAGTCAGGGAGTATAATCAGAATTTCACTACAAATAGATCATCTCTGTGGGAATGAGAGGACAGTATTGTCTGTCTGCCTCTTCAATTCTTGACCTTTATAATGTGACCATCCAAAAGGGGGGTGCCCCAAATCCGGTGGGTTTTGTGGGAAGTGGACCCTGGAGGTGAAATTCTGACCTTGGCAGGGTCAATATTTCATCTGAAATCCCTTGAGACAGGCCTCCAAATCATTTCTGAGGCCTGCAGCTTGTATCAGATGGTAGCTAGCTGACTTTCATTTACTACTGACTTAGGTCAAACTTGGACCAGGGATCAAGAGATGAAAGGCTCTATATCTCATTATCAATAATCAGTGTTCTCCACTACCCTAAAAACGACATACTTCATTCTTATCTACAAGGCCTTAAAACTTAAAAGGGTTGGGGTCAAATTATGTTACTTGAATTTATTTTTATTCACTGCTTATAAAACAACTTCCTCTCTCACTACCATAGCTAAATGCTAAAAAATTTAAATACTTTCCTTACTATTGTAGAACTGCTACTATTGTTTTACTCTTAAAGCAATAAAGAAAAATGCCTCCCACACACAAATTTAAAGAAGAAAAAAAAAAAACACAGATGTCAAGGCCAAGCCAGGCCTTGCCAATCTCAAAATTATTTTCAGCAAAGGACACCTTGTATAGAAATTGCCTTATGACAGAGGGGTGGACCTTCCCGAGAAGTTCTTCATCGTTACACAAGTCCTGATACTGACAGAATATCCTCTGAAATGATAAAGCCAGTTTTTACCCTAGTGTGAAGACATGCAATTCCTCTCATCTTGCTGGAATGAAGTTTTCCTAGACCAGTTGCAAGACAGAGCTTATAATTTTAGGCCACTAATTCTGAAACATTAATGAGAAGCTTTGGAAGGAAAATCCTGTCGTTACTGAACAACCAGAACACAGCATCTACTTCCACAGCGACTTCAAATAAGTAACAGCATACTTAAACGGTCTGAGATTTCGCCATGATTCTAGATAGCTATAAAATGTCAAATCCCTTCTTCGTTATTCTGTGAAAGCCTTCATGAGCAAACTGATTTGCATTATTCCCAAAACAGGGGCATGCATATATACACATGGAAGAAAAGTAATGAAATACAGTCAATGGCATGAAAAGAAACTTGTGAATACTTTAAGGAAAAAAGAAGTTAAATAAAGTTTACTGGTTAAACTGGGTTAACAGTGCTTTTCTACTACCACGAGTAAACCAGTAATTATCTAGGACCTACACAGTTTCTCCCCTCAATCTAACCGACCAGTTTAGATTCTGGATCAGTTTCTCACTCAGGCATTACTCCACCCAAAGCTGAAAATTTCTGGACTTTCAACAGGTGGGGCAGAGAGAAGGAGAGACACTTGGTTACGGATCGCTGAAGAGAACAGCTTCTGCCAAACCTCAAAAACAGTGTTGTAGGAGATCTACTGCAACTCAACTCTTTCTGGTAACAATTTTGCCGCTCCTGATCTATGGCTGAAAGAGGATTTGGTCCTGCAAACCCTTGCTCACATGAGCGCCTCCTCTTTCATCTGCCTCCTGATCCTACTGGAGCAGTGTTAATCGTACAGGGCCTTCCAGAAATTGAACTCTGCTGCTTATTGACAGGTAACATGTCTTCAAGGCCAGGCTGGATGAGGCTTGGAGCAACCTGGTCTAGTGGAAGGTGTCCCTGCCCATGGCAGGGGGGTTGGAACTGGATGGTCTTTAAGGTCCCTTCCAACCCAAACCGTTCTGTGATTCTATGTGTTTCCATACATAAGATGTTAGCCGTGTGCAGAGATTCTTAAAGCAACTATGACAATAAAGGGTGAGAGAAAGCATGGGGAAACAGAAGGGAGAGAAGAGAGGTAACGGGCATGGGTGGAGACGCAATCTCTGACCTGGATCTGTTGCTGGAGAAGGTTAATTTTGTGTTGCTGCTGCAGGAGCTGCTGCTGTTGTCTTGCGATCTGTGGAGAAATTGCACAGAAGAAAGGTGAGATATGCATGTACCACCATTCCTGCAGTCAGTACACAGGAAACTTCCATCCTGCTTGGTTCTTTAAAGTGCTCTATTAAACTGAGAAACATCCAAGTGCAGGTGGCAGCAGCCTGGACTGCTGCTGAAACAAGGGCCTCATGTTCAGGAGCATTTCATAGCTACTACCAGTGTGAAAGGGAATCTCACGGAAAATGCTGCACTGGATCTTAACAGAGGGAGTGATGAAAAAATAGCTCCTCTCTCATCATCTGAAAGGGTGCTGGTAAAATGCCCAAAAAGTGAGCACTCATCTACTCCAGTTTGCTGGAGGAAGAACAATACTGGCAGAGAAGCCGGAAAATAATACTGGCAGGAAAGGCAAAAGAGTAGGATGGACAGTAATATTCTTTTTACATTTGGCACCACCTATTCAAAAATTCCAAAAAAAGGAAATTTGACACGCAAGAGGAAGGTATTAGTGTGCGTATTTCCTTGCTGCAGACACAGAGCCTGGAACTGGGTTTGGGAAAATCACTGGCTCTTCAACGTGTGTATGGGCTGGAAGGAGCTAAGGGGGCAGTGCAAGGCTACACAGCCCAACATTGAAACCGACTTCGGGAAGTCGACCGAGTAGTTGCAGTCTCCTCTCAAAGTCATCTGTGTGCTCCACAAGGACTTCCATCCTCTCTCCATTGACTAAATGACCGGGAAACCTTACAGTGGACATGTTATACACAGTGAAGGAAAAACCAGGCAGTAATGGAGCCAAATTCGAACTCCCAGAGGACGGATGGAGACAAACCATTGTATTTCTCATATTTAGAAAGCAAACGTGCAAAACTTTCATTGGAGTGGAGTGAAATGTGCCAGCTCTGCTGACATGAACAGCTAGCCCAGCAGTACAAACATTGGAAGGAGTATGGCTCTTCCCCTGTGCTATGTGTACACATCTCAGGGTCAGATGGGAACTTATAGGTACTTATTGGGAGGAATTTTGTGCATTCTTCCCCTTAGGTATTTTCTTTTATTTCTATTATTAAACTATCAGCATAAGAAGCACTTACTCAGTTAACTTCACATCTAAAAGATGTTTTCTTTCTAGAGCCTCTCTTTAAGCAACCAAAATAATTACCAATACATTTTTTTTGACATTTTAATTAATTCCTATATAACACAGAATGATACACAATTGTTTTAATTAAAGGAAATCCTTGTCATCCTAATAATAATACTGCAGGATTTCTTACTGCCTTTTTCCATTTCCTCCATTTTCTTGTTCACTTTCAGATCATTCAGCCATCCTGTAGTGACTTTAAAAGGTAGGGAAAAGGAAATAGTTCCTGTTGGATCTCTCCTTGTGGAAAAATCTTGCCAAGTGCACCTTCACACCTTCATCTACTGTAAACAAAAGTGTGATACAAATTCTCTAGTTTAATAGGTAAGTCACTTCTCCTGTTCTCCGTAAGCGGGATTTCAGGTGTGAGGCCAAAACACACAGTATTTAAGACAAGGTTTTTAAATAATCAAAAATAGGGAAAAGCAAGGCTAAAATGTCTAAAGATGTCAGCAACGGTTTAGAATCTTAGGACTTGTTTGATACAATCCAAACACTGAACTCTGACAATTGCAACAGATTTCAATCAGTTTTGTGAGTTTCATAAAATTCACATAGCTTCAACTCTATGCTATAAACTCAAACGTCATTTCAAGCTGAAATAGATGGTCAGGCAGACCAGAACTCTGCCACGCAAGGACAGACTCCTGACAAAATTTTAAACCAGATACCATGTTCAGGTACAAAAATGGACTTTAGTTTCTGTTAAAACTTGCACAGTGCAAGCATGTTAGAAAGGACGTTTTCTTGCATAAACTATGATGTGCCCATTTGTGCACGTTGGAACTGTTCATGTGCGAAAACATGCCTGCATTTTCAGTGCAGGCCCTATTTGCAAGAGCCGAAAATCGAGCCTCCCAGGTGTAGAAGAAAAAAAGTCACACTTGTTCACTGACTTCATATTCTTCTCCCCCATTTTTTTGCACAATTGGCAAAATCAACCTTTTCGTTTGTCATATTGCAATGCGAACGGCATGTTTTGTTCTTTTTATACCTGTTCAGCATCACTGAATTCAAGAATTCAAGCAGCATTGGAAGATTTGGTGAAGCACTGGAACAGGTTGCCCAGGGAAGCTGTGGATGCCCCATCCCTGTAAGTGTTCAAGGCCAGGCTGGATGAGGCTTGGAGCAACCTGGTCTAGTGGAAGGTGTCCCTGCCCATGGCAGAGGGGGTGGAACTGGATGTCTTTAAGGTCCCTTCCAGCCCAAACCGTTCTGTAATTCTGTGATTATTCAGGAGGGCTGAATTTGTACACTTACTTACACTTATTTTTTTAAAAACCCCCACTACTGGAAGATAATACCTCCAAACTGGAACCTGTATCTTTAAAAGACAAAGAGTGCTATTTTATATATTGCAAATCAATGCATTCTTCCAACATGTTTTTGTTCAAACTTCTTCACCTACAACAAATGGAAAACAATTCTGGGTGGAGCACAAATTTGAGAAGTACCAACCCAAAAAGATAAGCTCCAGGAAAGTCCTGCTAGAGAATTATTTAAGCTGAAAGGCACCGTAATAATCACTCACCTGTTCTTGCTGCTGCTTAGCCAGCTCCATTTGCTGGCGCTGTTTCTCGATCTGTGATGCAGCCAGTTTCTTCTGTTCATCGTGAGCCGCGAGCAGCTGTTCTCGCAAACTGGTCAGCTGATTGATCATACCCATGAGCTGCCTTTCTTTCTCCGCGAGGCTTTCTGGGGTCCCTGGGCATCATATGGTGGGAAAAAAAAAAAAAAGGTAGAGAGAAGAGAGAAAAATCAGAGCTCGCCAGGTTTTTATTTTGCAGCTTCGCTGTAAGCAAAGTTTTAGTAGAACCGAAGAGCAGCAGCACGTTGCGATACGCTGCGCAGTAAGACCCGTTCCTCTGCAGGGAAATAAGCCATAGGGAATAATTCTATACACAGGCTTTGATCTGGTGTCCCCCTCCAATCTTTACTTGCCCTTTACTCTATTTTCCATTGCCAGATTAATTCTGCCTGTTTTGAAAGAATTTCAGATTTTAACTGCTTACACCTCGTGGGGATCACAACAGACACTTAAAGTTTTGAAAGACGATTACATTTTTAACAGAAATTTATGACAAAGACACATCAATGCTTTGACGGTTACAGAAACTGCAAGGTGTGTATTAACATCCCTCTAAAATCAAGGGGAGGCAGAGAAGTCTCCCGGGGGCTGGGTACCTCTCCGGCTCCCCATGCCCAGCCCTCTCACTGTTACTAGCCCAGCGCACAACAGCTGTCAGGATGCTACCTGTTCTATCATCCGCAGCCGCCCTGATTAGGATGAAATTATATAGTATTTAAGTTGTCAGTAACAACTATCACTGTGGCTGCCACTGCTGGGTATTTTTAATGGAAGAATCCTTGCATAAACATATCAGAAAAACGGAGTTGAACGCAACTCGCCATCTCTCTCATTTGTACTGTCGTTAGATGAT